TTATCGTGAACACAAGTTGTCGCACGGATTCAAGTTTACTGACATTTAACTGACGAAGATCCACAGACGAGAGTCATGATGTGTGCTCGTGCGTTCTCCTTTGGTCGCAAGCAGTTGAAACACACACAATTGAACGCGCAACATCGTCCTTGAGGCCCTTCTCGAGCGTTCGAGCTCATAAGCTTCTACTTCATAATGCTTGTGTTAATAGACTTCGTTTATGAAGCCCATTCTGGATATCCGGATTTGGCTTCGAGCATTATCAAGCCTGAAAAGGATATATTATCAAGACTAGATAGGGAAAACGTGGAGGACAGGCAGACTCCGACAATTGATAGGCACTGTAGACTTCTTTCTATAGAATTTCAAGGCTCAATCTGGGCCTTTTAAGAAAAAGCTACTTCGATCCAAATTCACGATCAGATTGGAGGAAATATATTACGCCGTTGGTGTATTCCCAATTCACACAAGAAAGTCTACCAGAAGTTTCTGAAAAGCCAGGGTCTCGTGGTCGAAGTAGCCCAGATTAGCAGACCGTAAATTCGAATATTGGATACTAGTATACTTTCTGAATGGCTTCCACGATACAAAGGTTGTTTTTTATGCCTTCTCGACGGCTACCAATTCCGGAATGGAAGGAACTCAATATCAGAATGTTCAGGCAGAACGCAAAAGCTACTTGGTATTTTGAACCTTAAGGCCTTATAGTATTTTGAACCTTATATCATGTTGTCGATGTGGACTGGCCCGTACTGAAAACTTTAACGGGCTTTGATTTTGCCGCTGATTGGCAGCCTAGCCATGCCGACCCGTGGTCCTCTCAGAGTATCGTGGATCTTTTATTGATCTAGGCTACTAGCTATCGTAATCTATTATGTTATCTGCATCACCCGAAACAAAAGCGAGACTGTTTGCGGGTCAAATTAATTGAGCGGGTATTCGTACAGCTTCACAATATCGATCGTCAAATAGTCATCAGAGACATTGTTTTAGGGGTATGCAGAGTATCGTGGGTCTCGTGCATGGACGTTTGTAAAGATACACAATCAATTAGCGAGCTAAACGATTGTATTGACGTCTAGAAGCTGACGGCTTTGTCATTGCTTGAAGCTAGGTTCTATGAGATCTAGGCGTACCGGGACTCCCACGATCCGTGCTTCTAGTCTCTGATGAATCGATTCCTCAAAGCCTTTTCTGCTTATTCATATTGTGACAAGTATTATATGCCAGATGTCCATCTTGCCGACCAATGTCGGTATCAATATATCTCGGCCAAGTTGTCAAATCTTGCAGTATAAACGTTTACGAGACCAGTATAAACCATATTTTGGTTTGTACTCGGCACTTAAAAAGGCGACATATAGCTCCATCATTTTGTGATGTAATTAGATTCGTTTGAAAGACTCTTACGAAATACCAATACGATCCGATGATAGATAGTAGCGAAGGCGCCTGGACAATCGATTAATTAGAGAAATATACATACAAATCCAAAAGCCTGCAATATAACCAATGAAGAGACAAAAACCAATTTAAATACCCCTGATATAAATCATCACGATTTCTGCGCAACTCCAAACCTCTTGTTCCCATAATCAAAAACAGAGTAAACTCCCTTGAAAAACACATCTCCATATATCCAAGGCAAGGTAGAGGAATCGCCCAAACTTTGAAGGCCACCAAAGCACATGGTACCAGCAGAGTTTGCATAGGCATAAGTCATATATTTTCCAGGAATGTTGATCCAGTTATTACCAACCGGGACAGAGATAGTTGGCATGCTGGACGAACTGTCAGATGTGCAAGGGTAGACCCAGGCACCCATATCCGATCTATATGATGCGCCCGAGACTTGTGCGTAGTAGAGCTTCACGACGGAGCTTGGCATCAGGAGGAGGGTGGAGCCAGTGTCTAGTGTTCTTGTTAGTGAATTGTGTTAAAAGAAGTAGAAAGATAATTAAATGCTTACCAGGAACAGCACCCTTTGAGTTAGAAGCACCACTAGTATAAAGTTTTCCATTGACTTTGATACCCTTAGAAGCAGCGACATGCCACCAGCCAGAATTCAAGATCTTAGCATACTTGATCTTCTTAGCATACTTTTGGCTAATAAAACCCCAAGTATAACTGCCAACTGCAGATTTCCTGAGGTCCGCGGCGAAAAGCTTGGCTTTAAGCTGAGGCATGGCATTTTCAATCCATGTCTTCTGCTGAGTGGGTGATACTTGATTCAAACTGCTAAAAGCAAGTCCGAGTAACCCATCACCTTCGAATTCTTCGAATCCAGATGTTATCGTGTTGGCAACTTCAACGGCTTGCTTGGCAACAGTAATACCCCCAATTTTAACACTGTCGGTGACTACCGTTCCAGAGGCACCGCTGCTATCAGCGTACGTTATCGACCATGTCAGTCCGTTGGAAACCTTTGCTGAAGTACCAGGGGTATATATATTGCCGCCTAGAGTCTTATGTTTTGCTTGTAGTGAAGATGACAGTTGGTTTGAAAACACCCAAAGATCCGAGCTACCGGTGTCGAAGTCCATGTTCAGCTTTTGACCACCGATAGTAATCGGTGACAAATACATTGTATCGTATGTGACAGGACTGGCGATAACAGTTCCAGTGCGAGTACCTCTTTCTTGAAGATTTGAGGTTTTGGTGTAGTTGAGTAGACCCGGTGGGATCACTAGGTCTGAGAAATGGCGCTTGTATTTCAGATATGCCTTTCGGAGTTCGTGAAAACCGTCGCGCTCGAAGTCGGGGTTTGGCACTACCGGCACAGAAAATCTTGAAGCTAGCTTTTGATCTTCATCAAGGTCGGCACCGACGTTTACAGTTGCTGCATCTACGTCGGAATCAACATCGACCTCGAGCGGTGCTGTAAACACCGCAGAGGCTGATAAAAGGAGTGCGAATGTCTTGTAGTGCATTATGAGAGGTGAGGCATGAATGAGTGTAAACAGTCAGATTTTAAAAGTAAATCGCCTGAGCTATCAGAATGAAGGACCGAAGATTGAAGTTCTTGAAAGAGAAAAGAAGAGAGACATTTGGGCGGAGCTGGGATGTACGATGTTATATAGGTGTAGCTACGGGACGAACGACATGAAGCTCGACCCGCAGGCAAACCCGGTATGGAAATGACCTTCTACCGAGGGTGGTGTGTCCCCAAAACGGTATGCTTCTGGAATCACGAGCGAAAAGGTATCTAGGAACGGGTTCTTGCATGTTAACCTTGATATTCAGGGGCTTTGGCTAGCACAACAGTGATATTCTTAGGAGTTTTGTGTGTGGATTGTGGTAATTTTTGCGTTGTTGGCCGGCCGTTAGGGCCGGAAACGGTCCCTGGCGAAGTCAATATAACCATGGCGAACCTTGAAACAAGCTGTTTATGGAAATGAAAGCGGATCGGCTGGGTTTATTACCACGGAAGCTAATTAACCTAACGAAGGCCTACGCATTGAGAGACAACGGTCCGTTGGGTTCCAGACATTCTTTCTTGACCTTCTTTTGTCGATTGGTAGACGAGTCATTACTAGAGCCGTATTATACCTAGCTCTAAGCTTCAAGTTTATTCGATAGCGATCTGCTTTTCTGCAAACCTTCATACTTCTGCTGTGTTAAGTATTCATTTGCCATCGGATTCCAATTTATGCAGGGCATAGTGATTAGAGGGTAAGGAGTAGTTAGTGTATGAAAGAGTCGAGTAGTCAGTATAAACAGGCATATATTAACGGCTTATTTTTAACTTCACATCTCTGAATTCATGAATATGAATTCCTAGGATTGCTTAAGATTTATTATAGAATAACGTCACCAACACACGAGAGGATCTTGAGCTGTTGGATATTGAGTGAAACTCGAAGCTCGCTGGCCAATCAAAAGGGTCGGCCTGATTATTCATCCGTTCCACCGCCTTCTCATGTGACTGCGCGCACTCATCTAGAACTAGTTCCTGGCCGGAAAGAGGATTTAGGGGGCCTTGCCCAGCCGTGGCGCGTTCTTGTCACCAGCTGAATGGCTAAATAATATCGAGTCGGAGGAACTGATGTATCTCGCCGAGAGTTATTGGGAATCTTGTTAACAATTGTTGAGCGGCTGAAAAGCCCAGAGCCAGCTATAAAGTCGGTTCTTGGGTCCGTGAATCCTCTCTCTACTCCATCTTCAAATATCCTGAATAGCCAATTTAATCCTTATCCCTTAAAATAATTTGACAAGTGTGTCTTTGGTCAAAAACAAATCACTTACTATTTCTTTGCATTGTATTGCATTGTCGGTTAACAATATTAAGACCCACAATATGTCCGACTCCAACGCCCCAACGGAAGAGTCCAAGCCAGAATTGCCGACAGCTGTAAGAAAGCTACTATAAACCTTATTCTCCAAACCCTATCCATGCCAAAGTTAACTCTTAATTTGCCACAGCTCGGCTTCTGCTGGGTCGAAATCCCTGTCAAGAACATGGACCGTGCTCTCAAGTTCTATGGTGATGCCTTTGGATGGACGACCAACCAGGACCATGGCATGACCTCGTACCAAATTGTCGAAAATGAGTTCAAAAACCTCAACGGGGCTCTCCGTCTGGTCACGGAAGAAGAGCATGTTGCCGGCACTGCGGCTCGCCATACTATGAAGCCGTTCATCGGTCTTCGTAGTATCAAGGAGCCTTTGGCTAAAGTAAAAGAAGCGGGAGGAGAAATAATCAAGTCAGTTCTACTATTTTCCATTATTCTTGATTCTAATCGATATCGCGACATCGACGTATATTGACGACAGTAACTTCCTATTCTATAGTCCTGGAGAAGAGATTCCTGGAAATATGGGATTCTGTGGCGAGTTCTATGACTCAGAGCGCAATGTTGTTGGAATATGGGCCAAGAAAATGGTATTGGATTAAGTCTCGAAGAATGAACGAATGGACTTGTATTGATACTCAATTCGATTTCTTTGCATAGTAAGGATTGATCTACACAATTTTAGGTACGGATCTTCATCCAGTAACAGCCCGGTTAGCTCAATCGGTAGAGCGTCAGACTCTTAACAACGGGGTTCCCACCCTAGTTGCTCTAGAAATCTGAAGGCTGCGGGTTCGACCCCCGCATTGGGCTTCCATAGCAGCAGCTTCCGTTGATTCTTTCTTTTTTTATTTTTGCAGATTTTTATTTTTGGATGTTTTGGATCCGGATCATGAAGATCCAACAAGGAAGGAAGACTGCAGGGTTTTTTCCTTTAGCGAATTCTTTTTTGCATGGTGTTGGATTTTTCACCAGAGGATTTTTCTTGGCTAGGCATCAAGACCTTTAGTGTCGAGACTGGTCATGGAATCGGATGCTAAACCAGATGATGGAATTGTATTACACTGGAGAAAAACCCTAGAGCTAAATTGCGTAGTGTGAAAGGACTATTTCATTTTTTATTATCTCGGACATTAGTCCCGTACCAGACGGTGTGGTTCGCCCCGACATGCATGTTGAATTGTAGTACTCCGTACCCTGAGAATAATTATATAATCTCGCTCCGATCTCTCCGATCCGGCTAGGAAGCTTAAGGAGAGCTATAAAAATTCATGTGCGGAAAGCGAGGGGTTACCGGTTTACAGCTGAAATACTCATATGATCATGTAAGTTGGCTTGGACTACAATACCTGTAGTATACAATACAAGTAAGCAAAAACTTTTAGTCTGGTGGAGTTCCGAGTGCAAAGAATTTCAGAGAAAGCCCCGAGTTATATTAGGAATGGTGTGTGTAACCACGAGATACCTGACATAGCCCGTCGTATGATTGGTCCAACTGGCCAAAGCCGAGGTCAAAATCCTCCAACAACAATCCGATATGGTGTAGTGGTTAACATCGTTCGCTCTCACGGGTTCACAGGCTTCTAAACCTGCTCACCTGCGATCCGAACAGCCCCGGGTTCGATTCCCGGTGTCGGAATGTCTTTTTAGTTGGCATTTCGTTTCGCTGTTTCAATTACTAGTTTGATAATCATTCTCATTTTTTTGACCTTGGTTGTTTTGGTTACTTTGGTTTGACCGAATTGACTTTCGTTGTTGCATACATATCGTAGAGATATCGATAGCTGAGCTGCGGAGCTCTTGTGAAAGCCTTGGTGATATCGTTATATTCGTACAGCAATCTGGACTTTGAAGTACATTTATTAAGTGAATTCATAAACGCAAGTTTAGGGGCTTAATCGAACTGTTAGAGTGCTACGCCCAGCAGTAGCGGAAGCGTTTTGATACAAGACTATCTACTACCGACACTTCTAAATTATAAAATGGATGTATAAATTTAGCAAAGGAATGAAATACGAGCGGGGTACTTATAGCATACTTAATCGATCCCTTTGTAGATGATGAGCAGGGTGAGCCCCGCCTTACGCACGTTCGAACGTGTTAACATAGTCCACCGCGAATATAATAAAGCGTGGCCAACGTAATAAAGACTATTCTAGTCCATTACACGTGCACCCGTAGTCCAGATGCAATCGCGTTGAGCACAACTACTACCTATTTTCTGACACTTAACTTTTTATTTTATTAACACTTAGATTAGAGCGTGCCTCGGTTTACATCGAGAGAGAACTTTAAAGTGGAAAGCAGTCCCTTGGTAGAAGGATTCCAAAGAGTCCTTGAAAATCAGGAAGGAACGCCTAAGCTTGCTGTTCGATTGGAAACAAATAAATGACTTAACAACAGCAGCGAGGAAACAAAACAAGTTAGGTCCATAATCATATCGGCCTGCAGTGTGAGCAATCACTACCTACCCAGGATGCAAATCCATATGGCTAGCCGGCTAACTGTCGTTATTAAATTTTCATTCAAGGCAAGTATACAGATACCAGATAACACAAGTATACACAAAATGGAATCCAACAGCCTTGTAGTCTCCGAGAATCAAACAAATCTAGCAGCCGACTTTATGAAACGACAGACCGGATGTGTTCTTACTCCGTAAATATCACACTTCCTCCAATATCATCTAATGCATATGGATGGCAAGTTCCGTGTCGCTTGGATGCCGCATATAATTAGGCAAAATCTTACATAGTGAGAATCACAAAACGCAGAAAATGCCTCTACACTTGTTGCACAAAAAAAAAACACTTTCTCGACCGTGACACAGCTTAGGACCAAATATTACCCGTGTCGAAGGTAAAGCATTCGCTAAATATTTCTCCATTGGACTTTTCGGCTAACAATATGCATAACCGTAATCTTCCTATGGTACCTTTTTTTCTTGGTCGATAAGACGAAGTCCTGCATTCTCGTTTCGCTAAAGCTTGAGGAAGCTTGGTTCTCCTTCTACGTCGTCCAGAACAAGAATTGCGTTATGACCTTTGGTTTTTTCTTTTACCCCGGAAATATATGCGCGCAGGCCCCCTGCAGCATCTTTTTCAGCTCTTTAGTTCAGGCAGTATGCAACATCGCAAAGGAGGATTGCGGAAGTTGAGATAAGTTTCATCTTATTTTTTTCTATAACTACTACAATTAATTGCTAATAGGCATTCTCTGATAGCAATTTACATTATATTCATGCACCTCGAATTCAGGTACCATCACCACCTACAGAGGAGACGGATCCGTCACCCGTTCAAAAACGCCACCAAAAGCGCCACCTGCAAATATTACTGGGCCAGATTTCTTCCTTCGGGATTTTGAGGTTTAATAGAAATATTACTATGAGCGTATAAGGTTGACGCCAATGCCCTGCATAACAGCTGCGTGCAGAGAGCTTATGTCGCACAAAATAGTCGTCTGCGCAGCTAGAGTTGTTCACTATTCAACTACTTAAGCGTGTATGACATGTAGTACTACAAGTATGCCGTAGTGCTAGCTAGTTCGCAGTGTAAGCAGCAGCTTCGTAGATGATTCCTATGTGATGAGGCCATTTATTGAAACTAGAAAGTATTATTCCTTAGGACGGCACCTGGATATAGTTAATCTGACTGCAAATTCTAAGGGTGAATCGCACATCCATAGTGGTCAGCTATACCAAACTCTGTAATATTACTAGATAAATTAGTTCCTGCTTGGATCCGAGATTTACCCCTACCTTGATATAAAGCCCTCAGACTCGATTTTAGCCTTGAACGATGTTTTTATTGGTCCACTTTGATATCTATATCCACGGTGAAGCATTGAGAAGGCCCTAGAATCGTCGCTTTCAGCTCTTATGCGCGCACGACAACTTACCACATCTGGACTTAATGTGCCCTTGATAGATAGGAGTATTGCAAGATCGATCAAACCCCATATGCACCCTTCGTCGACGGCCCGCATCACCGTCTGCATCCCCGGCTTTGGACCTTTCACCAGATGCCGTGATTTCAAAATTCTTCTTCAACTCACACGTAGGTACTAAGTAGACAGCTACATCTCATAATCCTATCTTGAATGTCAAAGGGAAATGGAGCTTCCCCCTCCGAAGAAAAACTCTAGACATCACCATCCCAAGAAATGTCGTGATACAAGCCCCGAGAACCCTTTCAGCTACCTTCTAATAATTTGGAATTCATCCATTGATTACTGGGGTAGTTACACAGCCGATAGCTAGAGCGAATATGTTACACCCCTTGCCTTTCACTTCTAGGCTTAATTCCCAGTCGTTGTCGTCGCGTAGTACCGAGTTCGGCTGAGAATCTGGATGAACGGGCTCGCTTTCACTAGCTGAAACCATTCCCGTAGGTATACTTTGGTCAACTTGAGAGCCTACCTTGGGACAGCACTTGCTAAGAGATATGAAGCTTATGAGTGTACGACCGTCTATAAATATCGAGGCAGGAGCCCATCTTCTCTCGCCTTCTTTCTCATCAACGGCAACGATCAGCAAACATTCCAGGTGATACTGCCGGGGAGAACAAAATGAAGTTGATTAGCGCTTTGCTCGCAGCTTTGGCTGTTGGTAAGACCTGCTTTTTTGTTTTCATTTGTTTTGATAGTGAAACCAATTCGCCATGACGCTAACCTAGACCTTCAAAACAGGCGATGCTTTCGCTGCTGTAGCGACTACTCTAGCCACTCAGACCGTCAGTCCAGTAACATCGATCCCAGGCACGACTTCCCCAGTGTCTACTAGAACTCAAGTTTCAGAGACTATTGTGCCCCCAAGCGAGCCTTCCTACCCACCAGCGACTGGTACTCCAGGACCAGTTGATCAGCAAATTGATTCAGTTGTTTCTGAGTTGAGAAGCAATGTTGTCAGTATCAATGCCAGATATAGTATGTTCAAAACCTACCAAAGTTAGTTACCTTCTGTTGGGGGTATGTCTCTAACCCGAAAGTTAGATGCAACTTGCGCAAGCTCTTGCAACGCCGGCCATATCCAGGCCTGGGGTGATGAGCATGCCAAAGTTGCTGATGTTGCTTTGACTAAGCTTAGAGCCATCCCCGTCGGATATGTCTACTGGTGGTACCCAAGACTGTAAGTTCCGCCTATTCCAATCTCATTATTCGACCGATTGAGCAACTAACTTGGAGTGGTTGATAAGGGTCTGGAACCTCGGTTGGATCTGGATCGAGATTTATTATACCCTTTACTTCATCTGGTTCCGCGCTGGACTTAGTAAGTTCTCTCCACTTCGCTCCTTTCCTGCAAAGCAAGGAAATACTGACTAGAATTCGTAGTCTGGGAATTGATATACTTCAACCGTTACCTCTGGAACTTCTATGTTTCGTGGAGAGCTCTCTTCTGGTACTTCGGTCGATTCGGTGGATAGTAAGTTTTCCTTCTTCTTCTTGCGCACAATTCTCTCTGGAACGTAATGCTAATGGAGCTATCTTGTAGCTGCTTCTGGCCATACTGGTACGGATGGTTCTACCGTTACTACTGGGGATGGGGATGGATTTGGTGGAGTTGGTGGAGAGTTTTCTGGTGGTGGTAAATACAGGACTTCGTGCTTGGGCCCTGGTCACAAAGAGCTTCAGACAGATAGATAAATAGCTCTAGTGACTATGTCAATGATACCTGTTAACTAGGATTCCCAAGCATGTATGTGGATAGATTTCGTTGTGTAGAAGTCAGAAAGGGATTCGAATCAAAAGTTTATACCTACATTACCTCTGTAACGCCTATGGTAGCTCTAATACAGGCACCCAGGCACCCTAACTAACTTATACTCTCGCGCTACTAGCTACTTGGCTTTAGCAAAAGTTGAAACATTCGTACCATGTAGAGCCCTGTAGAATAGATTACCCAATGAAGTAACCGTACTCCGCCGCTCCAAAGTACTATTGAGACAGGTTACGCGGACTGATCAGCCAGTCTCGTACCACGAGGGAACCTCAAAGACGTTCACAATAACCTTAGTCCAACACGAATCTCCTGTTGCATTTTTTAGTAGTAGCTTTGGATGCAGTCGAATGAGCATATGGACAGAGCTTTATGGTTGTAATGTTCTGGTTTAGACGGGTATTTGGATATGGTAGAATTCCTAATCAAAGGCCAAGTTAGCATATTGAAGCTCAGCAAGGTAGCCGGTAGAGGAGAATCCTGAACGGGATATTCTGTACTTAGTCCATCAATCTGATCCTATGGCATGTCCCTCCCTCTGCTAGGGGTATTCTCGATAGAATCCACGAAGAACCAGTGTCGTTTTTGACACCTTAAACTAGAAATCGGATTCTTTAGTTATATAACTGTCTAGGTGGCTCCTTTGTAGATTTGTAGTCTTGATAGGTCTGTGGGAGAGTCGTTCGTAGCTTGAGATGAGGAGTTAGCTGTAAGATGGTCCATGTGAGGTGTTGGTAGACAGACAGACAGCTTTCTTTCAGAATGGGCTGTGAGCAGTCAGAGCGGTGCCAGCTATCCCACGCTTTCTTCTCAGAAGCAAATATTCACCCTCAAGAGCAAAACTTCCACTGTCATCAGCTTCATCAACCATCACCTTCGCGTCTCGCCAGCTTCACCCTGCAGCAACGTCACCAGTCTGCCTC